ATCACATATAAGGTGGTAGAACAGTAGCTTGTTGAGAAACTGAATGCAGATACTCCTGACTCCAGTGTCCTTGTTTTTCTCTTCACACCTCAATTTAATCCATAAGTTATAGAAATGAACATTGTTTGCAAAATTACAATACGGTTCGCCGTCAATTACCAATGTTGTTGAGATGATTAAAGATTGTCACATTCAGTTTGGAACAGTGTGTTTGTTAGATGTAGGTGCTTCATCAAGTGTTCACGGTATTGCGCTGTGTTACTCTTTTAGTAAGATGGACAATGTTGTATGATCATGAACTGGTATATACTTCAATTGATTTTGTGCAAAGACCAGGTGGTTATGTCTTTTCTTTAATAATGAAATATACGAGTTTCATGGAGTTATTATTGAATTAAAATCATGATGTAGTGCTATGAGATATTCGATTTGATGATTGTGTGGAAATTATCTTATTTTACAGTGAATGAGCAGATTATGAGTGTACAGCGATTGGAGTTCTACTGGAAATTTAAACTAGTCGTTTAAGTCGTTGCATGTTTCTGAATGATTTAATAGATATAAATAGAGCTAAGATACATATTGTGAAAATTATTTTTACTTTGTATTATGATACTTATATAACTTAAATCACTCAAATGTATAGTATATATTGTTTTATATTTGATCAATCAAATGTTTTCATAATTTTTATACTTACTCATTTGAAGCCTCACAGAAAACTTGGAGGGAGGCATTCCGTGATAGAGGTATACATACGTACGCAGTAAAATATGAGTTTCAAAAAAATAATGTTGCCCAGGTCCCACATACTAGAGGTAGCAAACTGCTTAAGTCTTTCATTCCAGAATACGACCTCCTCTAGTATTCGGTGTAGCTTATCCACAAGCCAGCATAAATGTGTTCTTCTCGTATAGATCTGATGAAGGCAGGAGGACTTTTCTCCCTATTATCGAAGAAAGAATCAGGTGACTTCTCTATTAGTCTTTCCATGATTACAAGATGATAGATATGGATTGTACATATGAGTTTAAACAAATAGTAAATTAAGTGTTATCATATACACAGAATGGAGCATGCCAAGAAGTTGTTATTGAAATGATGATCAGAACAGCATATTAGATACATAATGACCTTGGGCAGTTTCAGGGTGGTGTTGGCGGGACCAATGTGGCATATTCAGACTTATCCACCTACGACTAGTGGATGAATAAATAGTAAGAAACTTCTGTCTGGCTTAAAATGATATACAGCCATGGGAGGCGACATGTTACTGCCGGGTGCTTGAAGGCTGACTACTGAGCTTCGGGGTGAAATACGCTTGCACTGGAAGAGACAAAAGGAATCGTCCTTCTGTGTTACAGATTTCTGGAAGCGGGCTGCTCATATTGAATTTGATGGTGCCTATACACTGCTATATTACAACTGAGCAGTGAGTTTAAAGTGCTCCCATATATGCAAGTAATTTCAAGAAAGTGAGTAGTCAGGGTTGTTTTTCTTTTCCCCCCAGAGAAAGGTCTCACGTTGGTGTACCCAGGCTGGAGGTGCAGTGGCACAATCACAACACTTACTGCCTCGAATTGCTCACCAAAGGGGGTGGCCGCCTTGTTCTTCCGCCTCTGCGCTCCAAGTTGTGGGACTACAGGTGCCCGTAACGTCCAAGTAATTTTTAGATTTTGAGGAACCTGGCCGTCTCATGGTTGCCTGTGTCTGCCAAACTCTGGCGTCAAATATCTTCCCATTCGCCTCCGAGATGCTGGGATTATACGGCATCACGTCCAGGCAGGTAGCTGTTTTAAGTAGAATGGATTACATATTAAACGATTGATCAGAGGAGAAAAAATAGTAACTTGTGCACGTAAATTATTTTTATATGGATTTATTATTGTTTATCAATATTTTAAAATTTAAAATGGGAATATTCACGTGACTAAAAAATTTGGTTAATGAGATCTTTGAGTTAAACACAGTTGTAACTACTTGAAGAGATTTTTTTGGGGGGGCAGTCAAAAGTTTATTGACCATTACACTAAGGAGTTATGTTAAAAATTAACTTACAGTCTTAAGAAGAAGACAGAATGTGTGGTCCATAGATGCAAAAATCAAGTTCAGTTTCTGAAAGTTAAGTTCTGATCACTGATTTTCTTTTCTGACGCTGGGAGGTGGTGTAACATACTCGTCCCAATGCATGCTCGGAACAAGAGCTGTTTTAAATCCTTTCTGCCCCATTAAAGCTTTCCTGAGTTGTGTACAGGAAGACATTCGTCTTCAATCCATTAGCTTCTTGACTTTTGGAAAGCAGATCATGACAGTTTTAATGTCAGGGTGAATTATGTTAGGAACAGTGCTTTGGAGGCTATAAGGAAATAGTGTTCAGTTGGCTGTACCTTTGTAGGGTAACCCAATCAAATTTCTTGCAGGTTATTCACCTCCTTCTCTAAGGATGGGGAATTGTCATTCCCTTGCATGTTCAAGGGAAGGCATGTACCTTTCTTGTGCTGTCGTTTCAAATCCTGAGAAGGAATGCATATGTCGAGAGTCAGCGTCCCCAACCTTTTTGATATCACGGACCGGTACTGTGGAAGACAGTTTTCCCAGCTTGGGCGTGGGGGGTCCTGGGCGGCCACCCCAGCTCCATCCAGGTCATCAGGCCTTTGATTCTCGTGGGGTGCGTCAGCTGGTATCCCTTGCATGCGGTTTGCAGTGAGCGCTCCTTTGGAGGTCTGATGCAGCAGTGATCAGACAGGAGGGTGCAGGGTCGTTAGCCAGGCAGTGGATGAGAGGTGACCTTGTGGCAGGCGTATGGGGTGTAGGTGGGGCTTGTGCTTGGCTCTCCCAACCCATGCTCCACCTGCTGTGGGCTCCATTCCAGTGTTGGTTGCTTTCATTGTTGAAGCACAGTTATAAGTCATTTTGAATTGTACTCTGCCTGATGTTGTATCAAACTTTCTAAGTGCGAAGAATCACGCATAGTTTCACTGTTTTTGAAGCCATGTGTTCTCTGTGGTTAGACATGGAGTATATAAAATTACTGACTCTTTAAAGTCTGCCAGACTGTACTGCGATGCTGCCATTGCTCTTTTGTAGAATTGAGATTTGACGTGATGCTCATAAGTCATTTCGTTTTACAATTAAAAGTACAGGCAGCCAGACGGGTGGGTTTTTAATCTAGTGCTTATTGATCCCAGCACTGTTGGGCCAGGACAGGAGGAGTCACTTGTCCAGGGATCGGAGGCTATAGGGAAGCTATGATCGTTGCACACTGTGTGTACTCTAGCTGTGCAACAGAATAACCCTGGTCTCTTAAGAAAAAATAATAAAACATCCCTGTTTTAATACATTTCTAAAAGAACATAGTCTTACCAGTACTTCCGTCCTGTAAGATAGAACATGTCTGTAATAGTCTGAGTCCTTGTGCAAAGCTTTTGCATTAATATGAATTAATAGTGGTCTGCATGTTGTTTTAACAAAGAATATGCTCCTTCTACAATGAATACTGTTAGTCTTTAAAATTGTCTCAAGGAGACATGCGACAATAATCACGTCAGGTAATTTTGTTGATTGATATACTCTTTTTTTTTTTTTTTGAGACAGTTGTCTCTCTGGTTGCCCGGGCCTAGAGTGCCATGCATCAAAGCCTAGCACAGCAACCTCAACGCCTGGGCTCAGTGATCCTGCTGCGCCTCAGCTCCTGGTAGCTGGACTATAGGCATGTGCACTAGTGCGCCAGCTCACCTGTTTTTCTATGTATTTTTAAATGGCAATTAGTTTCTTTCTAATTTTTAGTAGAGAAAGGTCTCGCTGCTTGCTCAGCTGATTTCGAACTCCTGAGTTTTGAGTATCCTGCCTGCCTCGGTCCTGCCCAGAGTGCTAGATTACAGCTGGCACTTGCCTCAGCCTAGCCACCTTGCCCACTAGGCCAGCTGTCTTTGATTCGATTACTGCAGTTACTGGCAGTGACGTATCCTTGTTGTATATGAGGAATCGCGGTGCAGTCAGAAATTGTGGAATACATGGAGGGAATCGCGCTTTTGTCTCTTCTAGGGCGAGCATGACTCACAGTAGGAGTGTAGTGATGTCCTTCAAGTACTCAGGCCGAGGTAAGATTGTGCTTCATGTTGTTGACAGTCGTAATTTCCGACAGAAAGACTCAGTCTAATAAGTGTGCCCAGTTGTATTATTACCAAAAATAATATATAATAATTGGTGCCAGTTAGTTATTACCAAAAAAAAATGCAACACAATGACTTTTACATTTTTAATCAGTGCAAGAATCTGTTAGGTAGGAGTGTGCTGGTAACATAAAGCCAGAGTCCTTAGGATTTTAAAGCTAGACAAGGTGTGTGTCTGTATGACACCAAGATACTCAGCTGACGAGTCAATTCCAGTGAGAGAGAAATCCAGGACTGGTTTCTGAGGCTCTGGGTAGAGGAACATGACTTCAGAATCTGACCGACATCATTAAATGCACATTCCCAGGCTGAGTGAACCCAGATACTGAGAGAGAATTCTGATGAGCAGTCAAAGTCTGTATGGTAGATGATCCTAGTGCACACAAGATTTGAAACTAATGCTCTGTGGGTCAAAAGAATAGGAACTTTCTAGCAAAAACTTTTACGTAGCTTTGTGAAGAGTGAGCTCAACATAGACCTTGAATAGTTGGATTTTTTTTTTTTTGAGACAGAAGTCTCACTTTATTGCCAGGCTAGAGTGAGTATGCGTGGCATCACCTCTCACCAGCAAGGCCTCAACTCTGTCAAGCAATGACTGGCTGCCTCAGCCTCCGGGAGCATGGACTACAGCATGACCACCATGCCGGTAATTTTTCTATATATTAGTTGGCCAAGTTAATTCTTTCCTATTTATGTAGACGGGTTTGCTCGTTGCTGCAGCTGGTCATCGAACTTCTGACCTTGAGCATCCACCCGCTCCGGTCGCTCCAGATGTCTAGGATACAGGTCCGTGCGGCCGCCGGCGTCGAGCCGTCCCGGGGCGCGGGGGCCCCGCCCTGCCGAGCCTCAGGGCCGAGCCGCGCCGAAGCCCGGCCCCGGGCGCGACGCGAGGTCTGCGCTTGCCTTCGGCGGCCGGCTCGGTCTTTGTCTCCCCTCCCGAGGGTTTCCTCTCCCCGCGTCGGGACTCGCTAAAACGTGCTAATCTGCTTTCCCGACCCGCTCCCGCCGGCGCTGCGCGGCCTCGGGTCCCCGCTACCCTGTGGTAACGCCGCCCCTCGATTCCGAGTCTCTCCCGACCTCCTCGCCCTAACATTCCAGCCTTTCCTGCCCTGCCTCCCGCCCGCCAGTGCGCCTTCCCTTCCTGCGGCTTTTGTTTTCTCTTCGCGGCGTGCGTTTCTGTCAGCGTGCTGCGTGTCTTGTTCATCGTGGTTGTTGACTCTCCCCCACCGGGACGTAGGTTTCAGGAGGACGGGGATTTTGTCGTCTCGTCCACTGCATTCCTGGCACCCACAGCCGTGCCCGGTGCACAGGAGGTGCTCCACAGCCTTTTAAGATTAACCCAACAACGCAGACTGCTGTGTGTTAGCGCCCAAGTGGGAAGCCGCTACCAGGAGTGCCCGACTGACACTTGCGACGAGTCTCCGGCGGGGTTTGCCAGGAGGGAGACGCTGTGGGACGGGAGGGACCCGGATTTGCCGCCCTCGGTGGTCATCTCTCACGCTCCGTCTGTCATTTCATGCTGCGGACACCGTGGCATCACCTCGGACAAAGCGTTTTTAGGCTAACTGGCTCTGTCCTTTGGGGTGTTTGTTCCAAAGTTTAGATAGGAATAGCGGTGCGAGAACAAGTCCAAGGATAGCTCTTTAATTGAATGGAAAAGTCATGGGAATCAACATACAAGAACCCAAATCAAAGGCAAGCAAAAGTGTAGCATTTTCAAGGAGTATAAAATCCATTTTTAAAGTATCCAGTTGGGTAAGCTTAATTTTTAGTTCTTCAACAGAAGGTTGCTGTTTAATCCAGCTTCCTTCAAAAACTGTTTTAGTCAGTTTGGGAGGTACCGGTGGTTTCCTGGTCTGAAAGAGACTTGAAAGTTTGTCAAGTGGATCCACATGATGTATCTAGTTATATTCAGAAAACAGCACCCTGCTGTTCCAGATCGTGTCAGTGATCATCTCTATTGGCCAATTAGGTATGTACCATCTAACTTGACGGGTTGGAATTTCTAGGAGTAGGCATTGATAAAGAGGAAAAAGTTACACAACATGGTGAAAACAGGCTCGAGTCAGTGACTTATCATAATTCAGAAGTTACAGATTTACTCATTTGTAACTTTTCCTTAATCAAATAGGGACTTCAAGGGTGTATCACTGACAATGAACCATTCTAACAAATTATTTAAATATAACATTTAAAGTCTAACCATTTAATAATTGGAGAGCATAACTTGTTCTGGAATTGATGTGGCAGTTTAGAGCTTGATATCTGGGGTCATTCCTGGGTTTGAATCCCAACGTCAGCATTTAACTGTGCGACCTTGGGCCTCAGTATTTTCTTCTGTAAAAGATGATGATATTTCATAAGATTATTGGGAGGGACAAATAAGGTGATGCATTTTGTGTGTCTAGCATAGTGCTTAGTAAATATTAACTATTATAATGTGTTCTTTTTTCTCCCATCTGTTTTCAGTTGAGACATTTAAGAATGTGTCTAATTCATTTCATACTTCTCTGTCCCTTATGTGATCTTAATAAATATCTAGTTTTGCTCTGTATCAGCACTGATAGATATAATATAAACCATATGTGTAATTTTCAATTGTCGAGTACTCACATTAAAAAGCAAAAAGTGACAAGTGAAATTAATTTTAATGTATTTTATTTAACCCAATCCATGCAAATATTATTTCAACATGTAGTCAATGCAAAAAAAAAGGTACAGGTACTTTACATTCTTTTTATGTTTTTCATAGAAAATCATCGAAGCACACATGTAATTTTATGCTTAGAACACATCTCAGTTCAGGCTAGCCACATTTCACTTGCTCAGCAGCCACATGTTAGAGGCTACTGTGTTGGATGAAACGGCTCTAGATAGTACACATCTCTCAAATTTGCCTCTTATCTGCTAGACTCTTTCTACTTGTGAGAACCTCACTGCCACCTTAAACCCAGCATTACAAAAAGAAAACTACTCATCTTTCAGACTCTCCTCTCTGTTCCCTTTTGCTGCTAGTAATTCCACCAGCTCTTCAGTCTACGGTGTCTGAAATCTGATTCTTATTCTCTTTTTTCTTTTATATTGTTTATTGTCTAATATTATCACATTTTTACTTGAAAATATTTGAAAATCTCTTCTCCCCTCCTCTTCAGCCCCCTTTCCACCATTTTTGCCTTTTCTGCAGGTTTCCTCTTTTGTGGTCTTTGTTTTTAACATTTTTACTTCTGCCTCTCTTGAAAAATGCAGTTTTTGTCCAAATCACTGGGCTGCACATTCTCTCCATTCTTCCTCAGCTCTTTTTCATGTTAAGTCATAAGTGGTTTCTAATGTATAGTTTATTCCTATGTTTAACATGTTTTCATTATCAAATATCGAAAGAAGTATAATTACTTTAACTGGTAATCTGATATTAAAATGATCCATCCAAGAAAAGAAGCACAGATAAAAAGAAAGGAGAAAAATAAGCCACAAGAAAGGAAAATGAAATTGTTCTTTGAGCCCTATCTACCTTCCAAAAAATACCAGAAGGAATTAATTCTAGTATTCTATAATATAGTAGAGAAATTATATTAATAGTTAACAATAATTTATTATATATTTTAAAATAGCTGGAAAAGAAGAATTGTAATATTCCCAACACAAAAAAAGATAAATGTTTGAGATGATGCATATTCTAATTACCCTGACTTAATCATTATATATTATATAGAGGTATCAAAATATCAATGTACCCCTAAAATGTGTACAACTATATCAGTAAAAAATATAAAAAAAGATATATCAGTGGAATTAATAGTAATGATAGTAACAACCACAACAGCAATGAAACCTTACATTTATACAGTCCTTTGTGAGAAACAGCGTACTTTCTTCTGTGCCTGGTGAACAAAGGGTTAAAACAAAAGAAAGGCACTAGATCAAGAAACCTGGTTTCTAATCCTGGCTTTATTATAACCTAGCTCTATTCCTTTGATCAAGTCACTCTGAGACAGTTTCCTTATGTGCTGAATGGAATATCTTTTTCACACGGTTGTTTTCTGAGAATCAAATGGGGCCTCAGCATCTTTACACTGGTTGTTCCTTTTGGCTGCGTGGATCTCCCCCGACCCCTAGCACTGTGCGTCTGTCTGCTGAATACTTTGGTGATTAGACCTACCCTAACCATTCTGCTAAAATAGGTCTGCCCTACCATATTCACACGCACTTGATCCTCTTACACTGCTTTATTCCACAAAAATATAACCTAGCAGTTTACTCATTTATATAGCAATTGTAACCTTTTGATTAATTACTTATTATATCATGTGGTTTTTGTTTGTTGCTTCTTACCTGAATGCAAGCTTCCTAAGGATATTTTGTCTGTGTTTTTCAGTAATGTATCTCGAGCACCTAGGATAATGCCTATCACATAATAAGTGCTAAACAGTAGCTTGTTGAGAAACTGAATGCAGATACTCCTGACTCCCAGTGTCCTGTGTTTTTCTCTTCACACCTCATTTATCATCCATAAGGGTGTATTGAGAAATGAACATTGCTTTGCAAAATTACAATACGGTTCCTCCAATTAGCAATGTCTCTTAATGTATTTAAAATTTGTCACAATTCAGTTTGAACATGTTTTAGTAATGTAGGTGCTTCATCAATTCACATATGCCTGTTTACTCTTTTAGTAAATGACAATGTGTATGTATTCATATAACTATATTTATACTTCAGATCATATTTGTGCAAAGGACCAGGTTATGTCATTTTCTTTAAATAATGAAATATACAGTTTCATGAGTTATTATTGAATTTAAAATTCATATGTATTTCTATAATATTTGCATTTTATGATTTGTGGAAGATTATCTTATTTTTACATAATACAATTATAGTTACAGCATTGAGTTCTTACTGAAATTTAATGACTATCTTTTTTTAAGTCCTTCATGTTCTCCTAAATATTTTAATAGTGATATAAATTAAGCTAAGATACATAAATTTGCTGAATAATTATTTTTACTTTATATTTATGGATTTTACTTGATATAACTTAAATACACTGCAAGGACTGTATAGTAATATTGTTTTATATTTATCAATCAAATGTTTTTCAATGAATTTTTATACACATTAACTCATTTTGAAGCCTCACAGAAAAACTTTGAGGGAGGCAATTCCTATAGCAGTATACATACTTTACAGGTAAGAATATTGAGTTTCAAATAAAATAAATGATTTGCCCCAGGTCACATACTAGAGGTAGCAAAACCTGCTCTAAATCTTCTCATTCCAGAATACGACCTCCTCTAGTATTTCGTGTAGCCTTATCCACAAGCCAGCATAAATGTGTTCTTCTCGTATAAATCTGATGAAGGCAGGAGGACTTTTCTCCCCTATTATCGAAGAGAATGGAGAAATCAGAGTGACTTCTCTATGTAGTTTCTTTCCCATGAATTACAAGGATAGATAGATATGGATATGTACATATGTACATTTAAACATAATATGTAAAATCTAAGGTTTTATTTCATATACACAGAAATGGAGCATGCAAGGGAAGGTGTTATTTGAAATGGAGGTGATCATGAACAGCATATGTAGATACATAGATGACCTTGGGCATGTTCAGGGTGGTGTGGCTGTGGACCACATGTGCATATCAGACTTAATCCACTAACTAGTATGATAAATAGGGTAAGAAAACTTTCTGTTGGCTAAAATGATATACAGACATGGGAGCACATTTACTGGCCTGGGTGACTTGAAGGCTGACTACTGACTTGTGAAATACGCTTGCACTGGAAGAGACAAAGGAATCTCCTTCTGTGTTACAGATTTCTGGAAGCAGGGCCTGTCTTTCATATTTGAATTGATGGTGCCTATACACTGCCTATAATTGAGCAGTACTGAGCATGTGATTGGTAAAGTGCTCCCATATAGTGGACAAGTAATTTTCAAGAGAAGTGAGGTAGTCAGTGTGTTTTCTTTTCTTTCTTTTTTTCCCCCCAGAGAAAGGGTCTCACGTTGTTACCCAGGCTGGAGTGCAGTGGCACAATCACAACCCACTACTGCCTCGAACTCCTGGGCTCAAGCCTTCTTCCCGCCTCTGCCTCCCAAGTAGCTGGGACTACAGGTGCCCGTAACCGTGCCCAGCTAATTTTCTAATTTTTTGAGGAACCTGGCCTTGCTATGTTGCCCAGGCTGGTCTCAAACTCCTGGCCTCAAATGATCCTCCCCACTTCAGCCTCCGAAGATGCTGGGATTATAGGCATGAGCCACCGTACCAGGCCAGTAGCTGTTTTTAAGTAGAATGATTACAGTATTAAGACATTGATCAGAGAGAAAAATAGTAACTTTGCACATAAATTTTTATTTTATATGAGAGTTTATTATTTGGTTTTATTTCCAATATTTTAAAGATTTAAATATGTGGAATATTCCACGTGACTAAAAATTTGGTTAATGAGATCTTTGAGTTTAACACATTGTAACTACTTGGAAGAGATTTTTTTTTGGGGGGGGGGCAAGGTCAAAAAGTTTATTGACCATTACACTAAGGAGTTATGTTAAAAATTAACTTACATCTTTAAAGAAGAAGACAGAATGTGTCCATAATGCAAAAATAAAGTTTCAGTTTTCCTGAAAGTTAAGTTCTGATCAACTGATTTTCTTCTCTGACTCTGGGAGGTCGGTGTAACATACTCTCCAATGCATGCTCAGAACAAAGAGCCTGTTTTTTAATCCTTTCTGCTCCCATTCTAGAAGCTTTCCTGAAGTTGTTACAGGGAAGACATTCTCTTCAATCCATAGCTTCCTTGACTTTTGGAAATGCAGAGTTCATGACAGTTTTAATGTCAGGGTGAAGTTATGCTTAAGAGGAACAGTGCTTTGAGCTATAAGAAAAATGTTCAGTTGGCTGTACCTTTGTAGGGTAACCCAATCACAATTGTACTTGCAGGTTATTTCACATCCCATTCTCTAGAGGATGGGGGAATTGTCATTCCCTTGCATGTTCAAGGAAGGCATTACCCCTTTCCTTTGGCCTTGTCTGTGTTCAAACTCCTGAAAAGAAGTGGCATATGTCGAGAGTCAGCGGTCCCCAACCTTTTTGATATCACGGACCGGTACTGTGGAAGACAGTTTTCCATGGGGCGTGGGGGGCTCCTGGCCGCCACCCCAGCTCCACCTCCAGATCATCAGGCCTTTGATTCTCGTGGGGAGTGCGTCAGCTGGATCCCTTGCATGCGAAGTTTGCAGTGAAGTTGGCGCTCCTTTGAGGGTCTGATGCAGCAGCTGATCAGACAGGAGGGGGCAGGGCGTAGCACAGGCAGTGATGAGAGTGACCTTGGGCAGCTATGGGTGTAGGTGGGGCTTTGCTTGCTCTCCCACCCACTGCTCACCTGCTGTGCGGCCCAGTTCCAGTGTTGGTTAGCTGTCCATGGGTTGAGAACCACAGTTATAAGTCATTTTGAGATTTACTGCCTGATGTCTGTATCAAACTTCTAAGTGCAAAGCAATCACACTAGTTTCACTGTTTTTTGAAGCCATGTTTCTCTGTTTAACAATAGTATGATAAAATACTGACTCCTTTAAAGTCCTGCCACTGCTACTGCGATGCTGCCATGCTCCTTTTGTAAATTAGATTTACTATCTCATAAATCATTTTCTTTTTACAATTTAAAAAGTAAGTGCAGCCAGACAGGGTGGTTTATTAATCCTAGTGCTTATGATCCCAGCACTTTGGGGGGCCAGGACAGGAGGATCACTTGATCCTAGGAATTCGAGGCTATAGGGAGCTATGATTGCACCACTGTACTCTAGCTTGTGCAACAGAATGAGACCCTGTCTCTAAGAAAAAAATAATAAACATCCCTGTTTTAATACATTTCTGAAAAGAACACTAGTCTTACCAGTACTTCCGTCCTGTAAGATAGAACAAGTGTCTGTAATAGTCTGAAGTCCTTAGTGCAAACTTTGGCATTAATAGTGGAATTAATAGTTTGCATTTGTTCTTTTGAAGCAAAGAAATATGCTCTCTACAATGAATACTGTAGTCTTTAAAATTGCTCTCAAGGAGACATGCAAATATATCACCTCAGTAATTTTTTGATTAGATATACTCCTTTTTTTTTTTTTTTGAGACAGTGTCTCACTCTGTTGCCCGGGCTAGAGTGCCATGGCATCAGCCTAGCTCACAGCAACCTCAAACGCCTGGGCTCAGGTGATCCTCCTGCCTCAGCCTCCTGAGTAGCTGGGACTATAGGCATGTGCCACTATGCCCAGCTAATTTTTCTATGTATTTTTAATTGGCCAATTAATTTCTTTCTATTTTTAGTAGAGACAAGGTCTCGCTCTTGCTCAGGCTGATTTCGAACTCCTGACTTTGAGTAATCTGCCTGCCTCGGCCTCCCAGAGTGCTAGGATTACAGGCGTGAGCCACCTTGCCCAGCCTAGCCACCTTGCCCACCTAGCCACCTTGCTCTTTGATTCATTACTGCTCAGTTACTGGCAGTGACTATCCTTTTTAATATGAAGGACAGGCCCTGCATCAAGAAATCTGTAATACAGAGGGAGATCCCTTTGTCTCTTCTAGGGCAAGCATACTTCACAAGTAAGTAGTGAGCCTTCAAGTCACTCAGGCCAGTAAATGTGCTCTCATGTCTGTGGACAATTTTATCCAACAGAAAGACTCAGTCTAATAATGTGCCCAGTTATATTATTACCAAAAAAAATATAATAATGTGCCCAGTATATTATTACCAAAAAAAAAAAAGTCACACAAGTGACTTTTACATTTTTATCATGCCAAGAATCTGGTTAGGGTAGGAGGTGCCTGGTAACAGAAGAGCCAGAGTCCTTAGGATTGTTAAAGCTTGAGACCAAGGTTGTGTCTGTATGACACCAAAGTACTCAGCTGACGAGTCAATTCCAGTGAGAGGAGAAAATCCAGACTGGTTATCTGAGAGCTTGGGTAGACGGAACATGGACTTAGGAATCTGACCGACATCTCTAAATGCACATTCCCAGGCTGAGTGAACCCAGACGTACTGAATGAGAATCTGAGTGAGCAGTCTAGAAGTCTGTATGGTAGGATGATTCCTAGTGCACACAAATTTGAAATCTAATGCTCTGTGGGTTCAAAAGAATAGGGACACTTTCTAGCAAAACTCTTTAGCGTATGCTTTGTGAAGGAGTTGAGCTCAACAATAGACCTTGAATAGGTTGGATTTTTTTGTTTTTTTTGAGACAGAGTCTCACTTTATTGCCCAGGCTAGAGTGAGTGCCGTGGCATCAGCCTAGCTCACAGCAACCTCAATCTCCTGGGCTCAAGCAATACTGCTGCCTCAGCCTCCCGAGCAGCTGGGACTACAGGCATGAGCCACCATGCCCGGCTAATTTTCTATATATATTAGTTGGCCAATTAGTTTCTTTCTATTTATAGTAGAGACGGGGTCTCACTCTTGCTCAGGCTGGTTTCGAACTCCCGACCTCGAGCAATCTACCCGCCTCGGCCTCCCAGAGAGCTAGGATTACAGGCGTGAGCCACCGCGCCCGGCCTGGAATAGAGATTTTTAAAAAACTGTCTTGGTTGATCTATATGTATTTACATTTTTAAAAGTTTTCATATTCCTGTGATAATAGATTTTAGTTTTCACCTGAAGACTTTTTTTGTCTGGGGTGATAAAGGTTTTATTCTCTAATGTTTTTGTTTCCTTTTCTTGGGCTGCACAAATTCTGTTAGAGTACTTAGTGAAACATGGAAATCTGAACTATATGCTTGTTTTAAGATGGTTTTTCTTATTGAATAGTTCTGACTTATGTACTCATGAAACTGAATGTTTTTTGTAAATCGTTTCATGGATTTGAATCACAACTTTAGAAAATCCCTAGAGTTCCACATAATCAGATTAAACCTTAGCTATTTTCCCAACCACCTACATCAAATTGCCTATGCCTTGAACTTCTTAATAGTGCTTAATCTAATGTCTTAACCCTTAAAAATTTACCGTACAAGAGAATGTGTTTTTCACACTCTGTTTTCCCACTGGATCCTCATTATTTCAATTACTAAAATTCTAAATACAGCAGATTACTGGATTTGTGTATTGTATTGGAAATGAGGAGGAAAGAGAATGCATACATGCACATAGCTTCTTTTCCTGCTTTTTGTATGTCAGCTGAGAAGTAGTGAAAATTCGTTAGACATTTAAGTGTCTAAGTAAAAACAAAATAAGTGGAGAATAGAAGACTTTGTGTGATCTAGGAGGGGATAGTGTTAGAAGAGGCTGAGATTAGGTGGTAAAAGCAGAAAACACGTTGAACATGTTGAAAGCAATGAATAGACCAGCCTGGCTGGTCAGAGACAAGGCTAGAGGAGTACTTTGAACCAAGCAGAGTAAAGTATCTGGGTCTCTGGTATGGCTTGACTCCCTGTCAGCTCATTTTCAAATGAAATGGAATAATTACACCTTTAATTCAACTTTAGAGGAACTTTCTACTACATGTCTAATGATGGTAATCTTAATGCCATATGCTTGTATAATGTGTTTCAATTTGCAGAACACTTTCATAGCATCATGTCAGTTACATCTTAGTTGCTTGTTTGTACTTGTTTACTATTTCTCCCACTACAATGTAAGCTCTGTAAGGGTGAGAACTTCTGTCTTTACCACTGTAATTTTAGCACTAGAATGATACCTGCACTGTAGACAATCAAAGATACCTGTTTAATAAGTGAACAGATGTGTAAAGTAGCTTCCCTATGTTTGAGGAAACTGAAACTCAGATTGTTTTGTTCAGCATCATAAAACTAGTCAGTGGTAGACTGGGGACTCAAACCTACTTTATACCTATGTCTCTTGTCTTCTACCCCATTGCCTGTTTCGTTATACCAATAGGCATTCCTGATATCCATGGTTAAGAAGTCATTATCTAGTTTCTGTTTGACAATTCTCATCATAAAAAGTTCTCATAATGAACTTTTTCTAAAATACAGTTTATAAAACCAGGGGATAGCATGAGCAAATGTGAGACCCCATCTTTACAGAAAAATTAGCTGGGCATAGTGGCGTATTCCTGTAGTCCCAGCTATTCAGGAGGCTGAGTTTGGAGGATCATTGAGCCCAGGAGTTTGAGGTTGCAGTGAGACATGATGACACCACTGCACTCCAGCTTGGGCAAGAGAGTGAGAGACACTGTCTTAAGATAGACAGACAAATCCGTACATGCATGCCAGGGGAGGAACAATTTATCATGTATAGAAAGCGATCCTGAAATGTTTAGAACTATTTTAAAACTAATTTCTATTTAATACTGTTTCCTTAGTATTCATTTATAAAAAAATATTCAGGAAATATGTGACAAATATTCAATTAAATATTTATTTGTTTATTTATTCACACACCTATTCTAGGTGCTTGGAATATACCAGCAAAGAAAATGGACAAAGATTCCTGGCTTGCATTCTAGAGAAGAAGAATCAGATGATGAACCTTAACCATAACACTTTGCGTACTGCTCACGAGTTTTCTCGTGTTCGCGCACCATCTGTTAAGGACCGCTCAAGAGTTTTCTTGTGTTTCCCACACTATCTGTTATGGACCACTGACGAGTTTTCTCGTGTTTCGCACGCCATCTGTTATGGACCTTAGATGTCAATACACTGCCTTGTCCACATTGAATGAAGCGATCTCATTGGTGGAAACCGTGCAGGTCAATCTACGAAAAACTATATGATTGCACAAACCCATAAAGCATTGCAGTTACATTGTATTTTGGTCATTCAAATAGTCTTCATCTTCAAGTTCCTGGCGCTTTTTAGGGTGCTTTTCTGCCCTCTCTCAGAAAAAGGAAGGAAACCAACGAAACTGATACACTTTCGGAAGTATTTAATGATAATTTATCAGATATTCCTAGTGAGATCAAAGATGCAGATGACTGTTTTGACGATTCCAGAGATGATTCTACTGATTCTACTAAGAGTGAAATTATTAGACCTGTAAGGAAGTGCAAGGTGGGGGTGCTTTCAAGTGATTCCCATACTGACGAAGCTGCTGATAATTGTTGGTCTGAAATTGACACACTACCACGCTTAAAATGTTAGAAGATCATGCTGGGGTCACTACATTTCCGTCTCAGTGTGACTCTGTACCCTTTGTGACCAGTCTCTTTTTTGGTGATGAATCGTTTGGGATGTTGTGCAAAGAGCTGTCCAACTATCATGATCAAACCAAAATGAAATGCGCAAAACACCATCGGGAACAATAAAGTGGTGTCCGGTTACACAGAAGAACATCAAGAAATTCCTTGGCCTAATTATTCTGATGGGTCAAACAAGAAAAGATAGCTGGAAAGACTATTGGTCAACAGATCCTTTGATATGTACCCCTATATTTCCACAGACAATGAGTCGCCATAGATTTGAGCAAATATGGACATTCTAGCATTTCAATGATACGCCAAAATGGACAGTCGCTCGGGGAGACTTTTCAAGATCCAACCTATGCTGGATTATTTCCTGCATAAATTTCGAACAATATACAAACCAAAGCAACAGTTGTCTTTGGATGAGGGAATGATTCCATGGAGAGGACATTTAAAATTTCGCACGTACAACCCAGTGAAAATAAAATACAGTTTACTTGTTCGGATGGTGTGCGAGGGTGACACTGGCTATATCTGCAATATGGAGATATACACTGCTGAAAGAAAGAAGTTGCAAGAAACTGTTCTTTCAGTCCTTGGATCCTGTCTTGGCATATGGCACCATATTTACCAGGATAATTATTACAATGCTACATCTGCTGAATTGCTGCTACAGAACAAAACTAGAGTCTGTGGGACTATTAGGGAGGGTAGAGGTTTACTGCCAAATTGGCAAATGAAAACATCAAGAATAAAGAAAGGTGACATAATATTTTCCAGAAAAGGCGATATTCTTCTCCTAGCGTGGAAAGACAAGTGGGTCGCCTGAATGATATCAATGATCCATGACATTTCTGTCTCGACAACAGGAAAAACAAATAGACAAACAGGAGAGAACATTGTAAAACCTGCCTGCATCAAGGAATACAATGCCCACATGAAAGGCGTTGACCGTGCGGATCAATTCCTTTCGTGTTGTTCCCTTCTAAGGAAAACGATGAAATGGACAAAAAACGTAGTGCTGTACCTTATAAACTGTGGACTTTTCAATTCATTTAGAGTGTACAATGTCCTCAGTCCACAAGCAAAAATGAAGTATAAACAGTTTCTGCTATGGGTGGTGAGAGACTGGATAACGGATGACAATAATGAAGGCTCTCCGAACCAGAGACAGATCTGTCCAGCCCTTCCCCTGGGGGTGCAAGGAGAGCACCTTGTAAAGATCCACCCAAAAGGTTGTCAGGTGATATGAAGCAGCATGAACCTATGTGTATTCCAGCAAGTGGAAAGAAAAAATTTCCTCTGAGAGCCTGCAGAGTTTGTGCTGCCCATGGAAAAAGGAGCGAATCTAGATACTTATGTAAATTTTGTTTGGTCCCTCTTCATAGAGGAAAATGTTTTACGCAGTACCCGTTAAAAAAGTACTAGAGACTTTGTTTAATTAGTTGTTTAATTGTTTTTGTAAATAAAAATGTTATAATTATTGAAAAACAACACCTAAAGTGCATTATGATCTATAGTTTTGATGATTTAAATAATGTGCAGTTTGCCCACAAACATGCAGTCCCTGGCGTATGTCTTAGAGATTTCTATGTGGTACACAATGTGATAGTAAGTACTTTAAATAGCATGCTAGAGGGTAAATGAGCTGTGTATGGATAAAAATGTTGAGCAAGGAAAGAGGGAGCAGGCATGCTGTGAATGAGGGCAGGCTGCAGAATTTAAAAGCATGGTCAGGAATTCCTTGCTGAAGACAAAGTAATTGGATAGGTATTTTTTTGAACCAGACATTGTCAGAGAAAGCCTATTTAAGAAGTAATATTTTCAAACCTTAAGTCATGTTCTTTTATCTTTTTATTTTGTGGGGTTTTGCACAGAGACATTTTCATGCAGTGAGTTACTACAAAGTAACTGAAAATAAGATATAAACCACTTCAAGTAATGCAGAGTCAAGTTTCTGAGTTCTGATATATATAATATTAATATTGTATCTGTTTGGGGGAAAGTAGATATTTTTCAGTTTTTCTAGATTTGCTGTCTCTAGCAACACTTTCTTAGTACATAAATGATTCCTTGATACTGGTAATTTCAATAGAATATACTAACTTTGGGGAAATGCAGTAAAAATAATAACTAAACCACCACTACAACAAAACTTAACTGTCATGTTAGTCATCTGGAATATCCAATAGTTTAATGCAATTTAAAAAATAACTCAAATTTTTATAGAAGAATTTTGTCAGTGTTTATTCTTTTCCAGAAGTCAGCCTGAATGCTGTTTACCAACAAGTTTCCAAATTTCTTTTCTAAACAAAGTGCTAAAGTAGGCTAGCTGGTAACAGGTACCTGGAATGCTCTGTATGCGGTTGTCCCTCGGTAACTGTGGGGGATCGGTTCCAGGACCACCCCCATTACCAAAATCTGTGGATGCTCACGTCCCTTATAGAACATGGCCTACTGTTGGCTCATAACCTACGCTCATCCTCCCATATACTCCAGATCATCTCTAGCTTGCTTACAATACCTAATACAGTGCCTGCATCATTTCAGTCACATGGATTCAGCGTGAAACTCGATGTGCAGCACATTCAAGTTTTGCTTTTTAGAACTTTGTGGAATTTTTTTTCTCTCAAATATTTTTGATCCACATTTGGTTGAATCCCTAGATGTAGAGCCCATGCACACACAGGGTCAGCTGTATTTTGTAGTCATTTGAGGGATATTTGATTATCCTTTTTTCTTTGTAAAATATGCGCACGTGCAATTAAATTTTCAAGATTTGTCCATGATCTCATGCACGTAGTAGAAAAAACTAAAGTTTTAATTCTAGATTTTGTGGCCCTTATAGAGGCTCTATCCCAACCTCCTCCACTTTTTAATTTTTGGGGATAGGAAACTTTCATGCACATTGTGTAAAAAGATATGAAAATTAATTTAGGCTGCCATTAGGACAGCAGTCTCCAACCTTTTTTGCACCAGGAACCATTTTCAGGGAAGACAATTTTTCCACAAAGTGTAGTATGGGATGGGGGGAGGTTTCAGGATGATTCCATCTCATTACATTTATTGTGTACCTTATTAATATTATGATTACATTGTAATATATAATGAAATAATTATATTAATACAATTCACCACAGGTCGAGGACCCCTGCATTAGGAGAGTAAGTACTGCAGTTTAATAATTTGATGGGAAATCTTAGGACCTTGAAGTTCTTTCATAGGTAAAACCTCAACCTTGTGAAAGAGCCAAGTGGACAAACATGGGAAACCCTGCACATTATGGGTGAGAAAACTGAAGCCCAGAAAAAGTGGCTTCTCCAACACAACTGTGGCAAACTAAACACCAGAGCCCAGGTCTTTGACTTCTAATGGGTTGATATTTACAAGAGGAAAACGTGGTTTTGCTATGGTGATGTGGGAAGTTGGCATAGACAACTAGATCAGTGAGGCAAAAGGAGAAAGCCTGGTGCAGATAGGGAAACTTACGGTAAGGAAGAGGTAGCACTTTTAGGTAGCACCGTGGAGAGGACTGTTTAACGAATGGTGTTGAGACAAGTGGCTTTCCAGACGGGACAAAATAAAATTAGATCTCTGCCTGATATACCATACAAAAATAAATTCAGATCATTTGAAAACCTAAAGAAAAATGAAGCTTTAAAACTAGAAAATACAGTTATAGTAGGAATAATTTCTTAAGACTAAAAACAAACCATAAAATGTGACAAGTTAGGCCATATCAAAATTTAAAATTTGGGGATGACAAAAGACACTATAGGCAGCGATTAAGAAAACAAAAGGCAAGACCAGGAGAAGGTATTTGCATTATATATAACAAAATATTATCACCCAGAATATACATGGCCGGGCGTGGTGGCTCACGCCTGTAATCCTAGCACTCTGGGAGGCCGAGGCGGGCAGATCGCTCAAGGTCAGGAGTTCTAAACCAGCCTGAGCAAGAGTGAGACTCTTTCTCTCCTGAAAATAGAAGGAAATTAATTGGCCAACTAAAAATATATTTAAAAAAATTAGCCAGGCATGGTGGCGCATGCCTGTAGTCCCAGCTATTCGAGAGGCTGAGGCAGAAGGATCGCTTGAGTGCAGGAGTTTGAGGTTGCTCTAAGCTAGGCTGACGCCACGGCACTCTAGTCTGGGCAACAGAGTGAGACTCTGTCTCAGAGAAAAGAAAAGAAAATACAGAATATACTAATGACTTTTGTAAATCAATAAATAGAAGAGCCATCCCTTAGAGACATGGGTAAAGGTTATTAAATGGCAGTGCACTGAAGAGGAAACCTCTATAACCAGTAAACATTTAAAGACATGCACAACTGCTGTAGTAATAAAGAAATGCAAGTTAAAACCATATCATACCTATGAACTTGGCAAAAATTTAAAACTCTGACAATAGCAAGTCCCATAAATTTTTTATAGCAGTGTGATAGTTTTTACTAAAAATAAAAATGTATTCCCCAAACAACATAGCAACTCTACAACTAGATTTCTTCCCAGAGAAATTTTTATTAATAAACACGAGGTTTGTATAAAGCAGCATTTTTTTAATAGAAGAAAATTGGAAACAACCTAACATATCCATCAGTAAGGAGTGGGATAAATGACAATGTAGAAGATTTATCTGATGGAATACTATACAAAAGTTACAGTGAATGAACCAGAGCTACATGTGCCAACATGAATATCTCAGACCAAGCTGCAGAAGGATAAGTATATGTTATAATGTACATAAATCCTTAAAATGTACAAAACTCAATGTGCAGGAAGAAGGGTTTAAAAATACAAAACTGATATTTTTGTTTCTGAATATATGCATATAAATATATGAAAACATGGACTAGAAGGCTTGACATATTTATCAAATAGTTGTGTTTGAGAAGGAACAAGGGATACAGGTTTGGGGAGGTGTACAAAAGGAGTGACAACTTTATCAGTTGTGTTTTGTTAATATTAGTGCTTAGTAGGTCCTCAATACATATTTATTGAATTAATTTAAAAAGATTTGAAGCAAATATAACACATTTCAACATTCTTATGTGATATATTTCTTTTAGTATTCTATACATTTTTATACTCTTACATTTTTCCCCCTAAGTTAAAATTAGGTTTGGATTTGGATTCTGCATTAGAGTCTCAGCTCGGAGGTCTTTAAAAAATAATACATCCAGGACAGGTGAACCATAGAGGAGGAGGACCTCCTTTTGTTTTCTTAGACCCTAATCCTTTCTACTTGGCTGGCTGAACCAATACCCGAAAGGCCTTACCAGGTTACACTCTGCATCTATGCAGTTTTAGAGAATTAGAGGGCATATTAAAGAAGGACATTTGTCATTCTTAACATCAGTGAAAGTGATAAACATATTTTTCCATGGATAAAAAGAATAGCCAAATACAACAACAGCAACTAGTAACATTGAGTTCTTACTATGCCCCAGCATTGATATAAGAACCTTTCCTGTATTTGCTCATCCTCACAGCAACCCTGGGAGTTGGTATTCTCATTCTCTCTTTACAGATAGGGAGACTGAGGCAAGCTGGGTAAAGGAATGTAGAGGAATAAGGAGAACAAATTTACTCAAATTGTACACCATAAATATTTGTTTTTTAATCGCAAGTCAGTTGTGAGGGGCTTTTGAGCCCACTGCATGTCGTGTCCACTCACTTTCCCTTCTCTCCTTCCACATACATATCTAATATACCCAGTGTTGTCTTTGAGAATAGTTATGTTGACCGTCCCTTGGATCAATGTTAAAACGCAAACTGCAATTTTATTACAGAGATCAGCCTGTTTGTCCACACCTGCTTTTAGTGAACAGTAAAATCTCTTTGTAAAGTTACCAAACTGAAGAGTCAAGATAAATAGAATATAAGTCAAGCAATGGCTTATACTGTAGCCATAGCAAATGAGGCCTACAGTGTTGTAGGATAACTTAATCTATTATTGAGTTAAAATGCCATATCCAAATTTAAAGCTAGAAACCAAATCCCCAAAGAGAAAAAGATAAAATCAAAGCAGCTTATACATAGTTATAAATGATTATTGCCATTGGCTTGATGGAAAAGAAGAGAAATCCATGTGTGTAGATTTTTTTCCCCCAGAAAAGTACAAATTATATCTATTTGGAGGAGTGCATTGGGGGAAAAGTTTTTATTGAGGCCCAAGCAAAAGGAATTGGGTATCAATAGAAATATGGTGTTCAGAGTAAGAGTGGTAATAGTTCTACCACGTTCTGAAAAGTTTTGCCACATGCAGAGGGCTCTATTTAAAAAGAGATTTTGACAAACTGGTGGGAGAATGGTGAAGAGGGTCTAGAGCTCTTGTCGTATGTACAGACATGAGTCTAATGCCTAACACTTAGTAGATATTCAGTTGATGTTTGCACAAGGAGGAAGGAAGGAAAACGAGCAGGAAAGGTAAGATCACTAAGTGAGGCAGAGGGAGGGAGGGAGGGAGAGGAGAGGAGAGGAGAATAGGAGAACT